ACAGGGTAGATAGGGATGGGCAACTTAGACATTGGCTACCTAAAATGAGGGGGCGGTAAGGCACAAAGTGACTGGCTTAAGAGGTTTCAAGAGCAAGTTTAGTTTAAGAGTGTATGTGTGTGTGTGTGTGGGGGGGGGGGCGGGGAAGGTGGCGGCTGTTGGAAGAGTCCCCACTGAATAACTTTCATCTTTTCTACATGGGTCTGGTAAAAGGAGATGGGAATAAGAATCTTATGGTTCAACAGTGAATAATTGTTATTGTGACCAATTGTGAGTGTCACAATTGTCAAGGTAGAAGTTTTGTAACAAAAATAGGGGCGTGGTTAATCTTACATTCTAGGAACGGAGGACCCTAGGACTATCAAGGAAGAAGAGCACAAGCAGAATGTGAGTCCTTATCCAGAGAAGCAGCGACACCAGAGAAGGAGGCAGAGATGGGGACATGGAGAGAGGGAGCGGCTGAGGACTTCAGATTCATGGGAAGAGAGGAACTAAAAGCTGGTGGCCAGGAGGCAGACTTGCAGAATGTGCCCTTTGGAGGTGTAAATTATTATATATGCCTGAATGTTTTTTTTTTTTTTTTTTAAAAAAAGGTAAAGTGAGTAGAGAGAAATACTGTTAGCTGATGGTACATGGAGGGGATTATAATCATTGTAATGTAGCAAGGTGTATGATTTGTTGAATGTAAAACTGATGATCTACCCTGTAAACTTTCACTGAATCCACAATAAAAACAAACTCCCCCTGAGGCACCCCACAACAGTTTACTTATATTGCTTATTGAAAATGTGTAAACTGATTTAATTAGTGAGGCATAAAAGATCTTTCAGAAAACTTGTGTCTTAGCTCCTAAGGCCAAGTATCTTAAATGTATCTTTGTTGTTCAGAATCTGAAGATAAATTTCTTCCTGTGCAGCTGAGAAAGGGCCCTGCAGTGCTTTACCCAGATACCCAACTACATGTCCCCTCACTCTTTTCTTAAATGTCACCTTCTCAGGGAGGTCCCCCTTCTTGGAGTTCCGTATTCCCCTTTCTTGCTTTGCTTTTCTCCTTGACATTTTCAAATTTTGTTGCTTTATTTTGCTTATTTCCTGCCTTCCCACTGGGGAAATATAGGTAGGTATCTGGGTAAAGCACTGCAGGCAGAGAAAACAAAAGGCAAAAGCTCTCAAGTAGGAGGAAGCCAGATAGAAAGAAGGCTAATGTGGCTCAGGTAGAACAAATCAGGAGGAAAGTCCTAGATGAAGAGAGTTAACAGGGTACCAGATCTAATACGGTACTTTAGGCCACTGTCAAGACTGACTTTTTAGCAGAATAAGATAGGAATTCATCACTGGATACTAGAAGAGTAACTTATTTTGAATTGCAATTAAAGAGAACTTTCTGGAAGCGATGCTAAAACCAGACTCTAGGTGGGCAAGGGTAGAAGCAGGAAAACCAGTTCTTCTGCAATACTCCAGGCCAGAGTTAATGGTAACTTATACCAGGAAGGTGTTAACAAGTGATGAATTCTGGCTATATATTCAAGGTAGAGGAGAAAGAATAGAATCAAAGATGGTTGAGTTAAAAATAACGATACCATTATAAGGGTACCATCCTGTATCCACAGGACGCTGTAGGATAAAGCACTGGACCACAAGGTTGGGTTGGACAACAAAGTTGATGATCCAAATTCACCAGCCACTCCTTGGAAACCCTATTAGGTTCGCTGTATGTTGGAATTGACTGGATGGCACTTAACAACAACAATAACAATCTTGCCACACTCCAAAGTTATACTCCAAAAGCAATTTCCAAACATAAATCTGACCATGTCACCCCAGTGACATGGTGATATTCTTAAGTGATCATATCTTTCACATTATTTCTTTATTAATATACAAACATACACTTATTCAGTATACCTACTTATTCAGTATACCTACCTCAAGAAAATCCTTAGGTGCATAAACCGGTCTGAAAAGGCTTAAATCTAAAATTAATAAGATACGTTAGAACAAAACTTCAGTCCATATATTATATAAAGGTCTATTGATAATAAATGTTATTGATTCTTATAGATTCTGTAGATAGATTTACTCAAGTATTTGCTGGTGGTGGTGGTGGTGGTGATGATGTGCCACGGAGTAGGTTCTGACTCATAGCGACCCTGTTACAGGGTTTCCGAGGCTATAAATCTTTACGGGAGCAGAAAACCTCAGCTTTCTCCCATGGAATGGCTGGTAGTTTCGAACTGCTGACCTTAAGGTTCACAGCCCGATTTGTAACCACTATGCTACCAGAGCTCCTTAGTATTTGCTGAGTCTCTATGCATTAAGTATTGTTACTGTTGTTAAGTGCTGTTGATTCGGTTCTGGCTCATAGGGTTTCCTAGGCTGTACATTTTTGAGGGAGCAGCAAGTCTCATGTTTCTCCAGTGGAACAGCTGGTGGGCTCAAACTGCCTATCTTGTGGTTGGCAGTCCAGTGCTTATCCTACCGTACCACCATGCTCCCATGTTAAGCACTGGAGATAACAAAAATGAAAAAAGTACCTCCTCTAGACATCTTAGATGACATAATTCTAGAAGAAATTAAGAGTCTTCTACTGATAAACTTGCAGTATAACTGAACTAACAAACAATGTCAAATACAAAAGTTGTATGTGACAATCCTCAAAGTACTTAGAATATAGACAATGCAGTCTTAATACAATCCTCTAGTTATATCAAACTATTCTCTCTTTTAAACTCCCGTAGCACACTGCTTCCTCTATTCTGGTGCTTGTCTCTTGCCCAGCCAGTTGTATATAAGTATATACATTGCAAAGTCCGAGGGAGGGTGGTGAAGAGTTATGTTAATGTCTGTCTATACAATTAAACAATTACAGACATCTACTTGTTGGGGAGCTGCCAGGTAATGCATTGGACTGCATTGTTGGATTGAACCACAGGTTTGGCGGTTCAAACTCACCAGCCATTCCTCACAAACCCTATACAGGGTCGCTATGGGTTGGAATCGACCCGACGGCACTTAACAACAACAAACAACAACTTATCAAAGTAAGTCAAATACAATTGGCACACATATTATAAACACTAAAATGAAGAAAATAAATTCTTCAAAATGTGTGAGAATTTCTGAAACTCATGTTTCACTACATAGTTTATGTCTAACATCTCCATGTAATTTAAATCATTTAAAAAAATTACCTTAATTATATGAATCGCTCAAAAATCCAATACATAAACTTAATTTTTTAAATAAAAATGCTTTAAATACTGATTTGAAAAAAGATTTTTGTTGCTGTTAGAGACGACTAAAAATAATGGAGACTCTAGTTAGGAATTTTTAAACTGCAGACTAGACATTTAAGCAAAGCACACAGTGGAGAGTAAATTAGTGGGGGCAAAAGTTGTTATCCTTTCTAAAGAATTGTTCATTCTGCAATTTTGGATCCATAACTGAGAAGACAACTCTCCCATACTACTTCTAAAATAATGTTTTTCATATACCTGGTTCATCGGTTCCCATCTCATTCCATTTACTGAGAAGTTCTTTTTGTTCTCCAACTGGTCTCTAAAAAAAGTAATTTTAAAATTGGTCTCATATTATGTCGTTTAGCAAAGCAGCTGAAAAGTGAGAGTGAATAACTTACCCAAAAGTTTAAATAAACTACCACAATATAAGGAAAAATAATTTGAGAGGGGGGGCTTAAATTAGTATTATTTAACTATTACATTAGATCTCAACTCAATGGTTCGGTTAGAAGATGGGGTTAATGAGTCCAAGAAAAGAAGATAAACAATCAGTACAGGCCAGTACACTTCACAAAGAAAAACTGCTCCTCAGCTACATACTCCATCTCGTACCCTGTGTGGCAGTCTCAGAAAGGCATCACAAGGGGGACGGCCAAGAATGTGTGACTGTGAATCATGAACATTGTCTTCCTAGGTGAAAGACAGTGGATTACACAGTACAATTACCTAAGCTGCTTTTCATATACATTTATCTTGTTGTTATACCATTCTTCTGGTGACTTTGGTAACTTGTCCTTGGAGATTGTCCAAAGTACATTGCCTATATTCTGTGATACAATAGGGAATAAACAGCAGGTAGGAAAATAATGAGAAGGGAAACTTGCCTCCCCTACTTGTGAACATCTATGGAGAACCCAGAGTATCTCCCACGTAGTCTCTGCATCCTTTCCCACCTTTCCTATCTCAAAGTCCAGAGTGATCGATAAATGCTCAGTGTTAAACCTAAATAGATGTCTAATTCTGAAGAGAAGAGACATAGCATTCCTTTTGTTCTCGATTTTCATACCTACAAGACTATACTATATGGTCTATGAAAATACCGTATATATCTGATCTCCATCTCTGATTTTGTTCCTTCTCCACCCACAGAATATAGCTATTGTGTTAAATGAGCCAAAAGGTCAAAACATTAAAGGCTATCAAAATCTTTGACATGTACTCATACTCTTTACAGCCAAATGCCTGAATAATCAACACTGTAGAATCTTACTTTATTTCTATCTATTCTCAAAAAGTATAGATTTATTATAAAACTCATTATGACAAACAAAATATAAATCCAAATAGAATGTACCCATGTTAGTTTTGGTCCTACAGACTTTGGTTCAAAACAAATTGACATGTTTAAAAAAACAAACAAACAAAAAGATAAATCAATCTAACTTAAGAGTTGTTAACTTCATGATACGTTTTAGTACGTGCTTTTCAATACGGTGGGAAAAAAAGAGAAATTCTAAAAATACCTTTCGTGCCAGTGGGATACTGAGTTCAGAGCACATACTATTTAAACTCTTCAAAATTCTTTTTTCCCAACTCCCCTGCAACATAAAGAAAAATCCATATTGTGTCTGCTTAACAATACCAAAACTGATTGAAATATATACTAAAGGTATTATGAATTTCATAGAAATAGTGAAGTTGTTTAAGATTGGTTATCTTCATTAATTTATTCACTCAATACATACTGATTATAGCCTACTATGAGCCACCTATTATTCTTAGTGCATAAATTATTCATACATAGTGCAGTACATAACAGAAAATCTTTGTTCTCATAGAAATGACATTCTAATTGAAAAATGGGAATGAATATGAATACAAACGAAATTACCAAGCTATATGGTAACAAATGCTATAAGGAAAATAAGTAGCCCCAATGGCACAACAGTTAAGTGCTTGGTTTCTAACCAAAAGGTCAATGTTTCGACCCACCAGCGGCTCAGCTGGAGAAAGATGACGCAGTCTGCTTTTCGTAAGATCGTTGTTGTTGTTAGGTGCAATCAAGTCAGTACCGACTCATGACCCTATGCACAGCAGAACGAAACACTGCCCAGTCCTGGGCCAGCCTCACAACTGTTGCCACGCTTGAGCCCATTGATGCTGCCACTTTGCCAATCCATCTCACTGGAGGTCTTCCTCTTTTGCTTTGACCCTCCACCTTACCAAACATGATATCCTTCTCCAGTAACTGCTCCCTCCTGACAATATGTCCAAAGTATGAGAGACAAAGTTTGGCCATCCTGGCCTCCAAGGATCACTCTGGCTGCACTTCTTCCAACACATATCTGTTGGTTCTTTTGGCAGCCCATGGCACTTTCAATATTCTCCTCCAACACCATAACTCAAAAGCACCAATTCCTCTATGGTTTTCCTTATTCACTGTCCAGCTTACGTATGGATATGAGGCTATTGAAAATACCATGGATTGCGTCAGGCTCACCTTAGTCCTCAAGTTGACATCTTTGCTCTTCAACACTTTAAAAAGGTTTTGTGCAGCAGATTTACATAATGCAATATATTGTTTGATTTCTTGACTGCTGCTTCCGTGAGTGTTGATGGTTGATCCAAGAAGAATGAAGTCCTTGACAACTTCAATCTTTTCTCCACTGATAAGAGTGTTGTTTATTGGTCCAGTGGTGAGCATTTTTGTTTTCTTTACATTGAGATGCAATCCATACCATAGGCTGTGCTCTTTGATCTTCATCAGTAAATATTTAAGTCCTCTTCACTTTCAGCAAGTAAGGTTGTATCATCTGCATATCGCAGGTTGTTAATGAGTCTTCCTCCAATACTAATGCTATGTTTTTTTTTCCATAGAACCCAGCTTCTTGGATTATTTGCTCAGCATACAGGTTGAATAAGTATGGTGACAGAATACAACCCTGTTGCACACCTTTCTTAATTTTAAACCATTCAGTGTTCCCATGTTCTGTTTGAACAACTGCCTCCTGATCCATGTACAGATTCCTCATGAGCACAATTAAGTGTTCTGGAATACTCATACTTTGCAATGTTGTCCATAGCTTGTCATGATCCACACAATCGAAAG